ATCGTAACGCAAGTTTTTTTAGTATATTTTCCTTAATTGAAATTATTTCAGAACTAACACTATCATTTACTATTAAATGTGTTTCAATTTAACTTCTAAAAAGTAACGCCAAGTTTAACGTAGGCCCTTTTTGTGCTGAAAGAAATTCTATAGTTTCTTTAAATTTTGATAGAAATGCCAATAGTTCTTCTACCAGATCAGATTCATAGGTTGATAATTTTATAAAATGTTTCCCAATTCTTTTTAAAACATTATTTATTAAATTCTTATTTAATCCCGATATGATTTCTAGCATAATTAATATACTATGCCAACGTGTTGGGACATTTAATTTTAAAGTTTTCATATGCGTGGAATTATTATTATTATCATTGGAATTTCCAATTTGAAAACGGGTATCTGGGTATGGATCAGTGCTATCAAGATCTAAGAAAATTTAATGAGTGCGTGAAATATAATTTAAATATATTGCTATTTAATAACTATTTTAATTTATTAATTCCTATTATATAATAAAAACATGTAGAAAATAAAAATTCATTAAAATCCTGATTGGCATTAATAAAATTACAACAGTGATGTTGACTAATTATTAGAATAAAAAGGTATAAAATATGAAAAAAAAATTCTGCGCCGGCCGTACGCCGCGATATGAAAATCGGCGGCGCGCCGGCGCAATTTTCATAAACGGCGGCGTTTTCGGCATACCCAAAAAAGCGGCGCACAGGTCTATTTAATAATTTTTAATAAAATACTAGTATTATTCTGAAAAGAATCTTTTTCATTTTCTTGACCAAAGATATAGATATTGATTCTTTTTAATATTCATGTTTAAAATTTTACATATCCCAGTAGATATTTTATTTTCTTCGGGAATCTTGTATTAATTTCCTTATTTTATCCGCCATATTTTAAATATATTGACAACCAAAATTATCTGGAAAATTTCCAACTCATATTAAGTTAGATAAAAAATAATAGCACCAAAACGAAATAAATAAAGATTATATTTTATCAGAGTTGTTAAAGTAGCGCGCTATCTTTTTTGGTAGCTATAGCTAATAGCCGCTACTTTTTTTTTAAATTATTTAATTTTTTAGCGCGCTACTTTTTTTAAAAGTAGCGAAGTAGCGCTATAAACATGAAAATTTAAATATAATATCAATTAATTATAATTTATTATTTAATTTTGAAATTTAAATATATTTTCGATTTTTAATTTATATTTTCAATCTGTGTTAATTATCTAAAATGGCATCGCCCATGGATATCCAAATCCTTGAAAGTGATTCAGACATCGAAGAAAATGTACTAAATAGCTCTAATAACGATTTTCCATTCCCTAGATTTGAAAAATTTTTTAAAATAAATATTAAAACAAAATCTGGATTAAAATTCCTGTGCTTAAAATGTAAAAAAAAATATATCATCAAATCAATCGAGTAGCTATAATCTGAAGAAACACCTAAAGGTAAATTGTTATTTTTACATTATAATATTATTTATTTTATTAGTCTGTTCACGCCAATTGCTATAAGGAAATAGAGAAACTTATAAAAAATTTTGGTATAAAAGAATCTTCATTCAAAAAGACAAATACTATCCAAACCAAATTAACTGATAATAAACATGCCTATATTTCACAAAAATTGGCTGATAAAGTAATTGTTGATTTTATTATTGACACAGTTCAGCCATTGTCCTTGGTTGATAATCCATCATTTACTATGAAGATTAAAACTTTATCCCCTGGCACAATAGTTTTATGTTACCAGACACTTATGAATAAAATAGCCGACAACTTCAAAGTGATGAAAGATGCTCTAATAGTAGAGTTATCAGACATATCTTATGTATGTACACCGGCAGATAGTTGGATACATAACAGAAGGTAAAAACTTATTTATATTTATAAATTGATCTGATTAAATATTTTTAGAGCTTCCTTGCCCTCAAGTGCTAGTGTCGTGAGATTATTTAGCAAAGCAAAGCTTATACTTTCTGATCGTCGCTCTAGACTTGGGGATGATAATATTGAAATGATATTATTATTAAAATGCAACATTAAAATAAATATTTATTTATATTGCTTATTTTTTTTATAATCTAAACTAACTATATTTTTATATTTATAAATTTTGATTTTTATATATTATTTATTATACATTTACATTATAAGCAAAAAAAAAAATAATTTGTTTCTAAAATTTTTTTTCTAAAAAGTAGCTAATAGTGCGCTACTTTTTTTGACAAATAGCGAAAGCGGTAGCGCGCTACTTTTAAAAATAGCGTTTAACAACTCTGTATTTTATATTTAAATGTAACTCGATATACTAATTTATTTTATATATTTATTAATTTGTACGATGATAACACTTATGGTAGTGAAGAAGGAGGCAGTGAAATTTAAATTATGGAAATAAGTTCTTCTGAATCAAATCCCAATCTTAAAATTTTTTATGAAAATTTTTTTTAAATAAAAGTTAAAAAAGACAATATAGGGGCTGAATGTAAAACCTGTATAAACAAAAAAAATGATAAAGGGTTCAACACAAATTTTGTTAAACATTAAAGTATATTATTTATATATGGTTAAAATGGGATATAGGTCATGTTAAAAACTCAAGTTTACGATATTTCTTACCTTTATTGAAAGCTGCCCAAGATTGTATGGGCCAAAGATATTAAGAAAATATTTTCCTATGATATAATTATAATGAGGCTTTGGCATAAATATCACATCCATATTTTAAGAAATTGAGTAGTCGGATGATAAAAAAATACTTTCAGAATATATTATTTTAAGAAGCCCTAAATTTAGTACCAGAGTATATAATCAAGTTCAACAAACTATAACACCAATAGATTTAACATTTAATAAATAAAAATTTTTTTCTTTCTGAAACAAATGTTGCTGAGTTCAATAATACAAATAATTTAAACTGGATGTTTTAAATTATATTAGAAGTCGAAATACATTATAAAGGTTTTAAAAGATTAGAAGTCGAAATATATTTAATACTTAATTATTATCCTTCCATTAAGGAATTTTTTTTTAAATATAATACTGCAATATCTTCATTAGCTCCAATTTAAAGGTTAATTAGTTTTGGCACAATGTTAAGTACGCCGAAACAGCAAAGATCTAATGATAAATTATTTGAAAAATTTGATTATCTTATAAAATAATGAACCTATTTTAAATACTCTTTGGCAAATTTATATTTCAACTCCCATTAAAAATACTAGTCTCCCTTTATGCTAAGAATGGGCTAATACTAATATTAAAATGCCTAATTAAACTCATCATTAAATATTTTATTAATTATTGTAAATTCATTCTTATTAGATGCGTATGTTATGTTCTTCACATATAAATAATAAAAATTGTATTTTATAAACTATTCTAATTTAATTGGTAATGATAATTTAATATTATCTATCATTTAGAATATTCTAATTTAGCAAAAGGTACAAGTATCTTTTTGATATTTTGAAAAAGATACTAGTATCTGTATCTAAGATTCATTATTTTATAAAGAATCTATCTAGATTCTTTTTTGGAGGACCTTTCCAACTCTGCTTGATATGATTTTTATGATTCGCAAAACTTGTGTTTATTTATGTTTTATCGAATGTTTTTTTATTACATTCAGTTTAACAAAAATCTTCAAATGAGCATTCGAAGATTTTTCGTTCAAAATTTTGGGCAAAAAATCTTTGAAGATCAAAAAAATTGAAATTTTTTTATGAAAAAATGTCAATTTTTTAATCTTTAAAAGAGCAAAATCTTTGAAGATTTTTAAATTTTAAGCAAATTACATTATAAATTTTTTATTAAAATTGTCAGTTTCTTTAGGGTTTTATAATTAAATTTGCATAGCTATGTTCGAAATTATTTATAAAGATTCCTATTACATAAATTTTTTATTTATTTATTATTGTATGTAAATGATTAAATGTACTATTTATCATTTTGGGATTCGAAATAAATTTTAAATCATTTATTAGGAGCAATTTAAATTTAAAAAATCTTATTTTACCGGAAATTTGTTCCAATATATACAGAGTACCATCCCTGTAACTAACAATTTTGCCTAAAACTGTTAAAATTTTATATACATTTTTCATATAAACTGAAAATACCAAAGGTTTATCGCGAAAATTATTTGAATTTTATAAGGTAGATAGACAAGCTGGGATACATTTCTAAATTTAAAAATTGCTCTCAGTAAATAATATAAATTTGAGAGATTCCTAATTCCTATATACGACATATATATATATATATATAGTTAGATCGAAATTGTTTGGACCACCATCTTTATTTTAAAATTAATTAATTTAACTTTTTTTAACTTAAAATCAGCTCAAAGTTACCATGTTTGAGGAATATAAATACTAGTCTGGCACTAAATCAGGTATTTAGTTCTTCTATATTTTCATCTTGGTATGATTTCAATTTTTTCTAATTTAGGTAATATTGTGTGAAAAAACGGATTTAAAAGAATAAATAATTGTGCACTGAATATTGATAAAATTTTCATAATACTTGGTTTCAGCCATTTTTTAATTGTAAGGGTATCCAAAATTTTGTTGCTAATTTTTTTTCCTTGATAATGACTAGATGCTATATTGCCTAAAGCACACGTAAGCATTATTAAAATACTAGATTATATAATTATTGCTTCCATATGTTCAGCCAACTTTATCAGAGATGATAGAAACAAAGATATTACACATTTAAAAAAGATAAAAATAGCGGGAAAATAAAAAAACATAATTTTTTATAGGCGGCAGGGGACGAAGGGAAATGTCGTTTGGAAGCGAAGCCATCCAAAAAATTTTCGTAACCCCCCTCAATAGATAAATCCCGACTATGCCACTATTTGTTATATGTTTTCATATAAACTCTCTATTTTATATTATTTAATTTTGATAAAAGAAAGATTGAGCAATTCAATGACTAGTATATTATATTAATTTATTAAAAACCTTAGGATTTTTGGCAAATGTTTACCCATCACGTTTGCACTTTGCTCTTGATGACATTCTCCTGGGCAACTAATCTGGTGAGAATCGGTACCCTGGTTCTGGTTATACATGATGCTGTCGATTTTTGGTTGGAAGTACATTTTTTTTGTCCCTGATTTCTTAAAATTCGTATCAATCTCAATAATCAAATATAAGTACAGTTGGAGAAATCCATTGTGAAATTTATGACGAGATCATGTTATAATTATTGTCGCTTGATTACACCTCGATGAACATCGATTTTTTTTTAAATATTTGGTTAACACTTTTATCAAGAGGATAATTAAAATACACATATTATTTTCTAGAAATTTATTTTAATCTAAAGGAGAGAGAGGGGACCAACATAAAATTCTTACTCTAACTTTAATCGTTCAAAAGTGGAGTTAGAACCCTATAAATAATAATGAAATGGCTATACGTTGTTTTATACTGATTATGACTTAAAAATGCTATTTAAATTTATTTTTTTTATTATCATCTAGATATATATTTTTTAAATAATTTGTTATACATATTTTTAAGGCCACAAAGATAACTAATTATTGTAAAAAGCCTAAATTGTGCAACGTTATATTCTGCATATTTATCGTTACTTGGTTCCTAACTAGATTGGTTATATTTCCATACAGGTATACCATTCAATGAAATGGGTTATAAATATTTAAATACACATATTTTAATTATCTAATTATTTATATATTGGGAAAAGGAGAAATAGTATAAAATATTTTTAAATATTTCCACTAATTTAGTTAAATTAACAAAATAAATGGACACATTACTATCTTTATTAAAATGACAGCTCAAATATTAATATAGAACTAGAACCACATTCAGCCTTTGCCAGACATGCTTGGAGGGCTTTTAGATGAACCCTTATTATTTTAATAACCATTGTCACTTACCCATTTTATCTACTTACCCATTATCAAATATAATATTTAGAGTCATATACCCTGCTATGTTCCAAGCCCACAAAGTTTTGAAAACATTTTTTGCAGCTTATTACGTCTACAATTCCCTTTTGTTGCTTTTGCTAGCTCTTAACATTTTTTGGTTCGTAATCATATGCAAGATGGCTTACAAATCCATTAAATATGGAGAGGTTTAATCAATCATACATTTAAAATATTTATTATATGAATTGGAACACAATTAAGATAGAATTAGAAAAAATATCCACTTTAATTAAGGATTTAATTTAATATATGATGGGTTAATAAAAATTATGAATGATCAATGTAAATTGTTTAAATCAGGTCAAGAAAGATGAAAGGAGCAGCTCGGAAGATGAAACCCGGCAAGACGCTAAAAATAACTGAAAAGCGATATATGGAAGGAAATATTACACTAAAGGAAACCTAATCTATAAAAATTGTTTAAAGGGTTTCTAAGAAAAACGAATGTTTTATATATATATACAAAATTTATAAAGATTTTTTTAAAACCACTTCTTTGTTATTGTAAAATTTTTACATCACTAATAAAACAGTTTTTAATATTGTACAAAAAGAAATACGCTTATTATTATATTTATTGTGTACCTTGTGATCTTATATTTTTTTTATTTATATTAACACAGCTTTGCTCACTAACTGATATTTTATAAACATTGCTTAAAGAGTTTCGGAAAAATGCTCCCTTAGTCTTTGAAAAGATTTTTAAAATTTTTTTTTGAAAATAATATTGTTTTTTGTCCAAAATGACAATTTGTTAAAAAATAATTTTATATAAAAATAAACATGCTTATATTATATTTAACAATATGTATTTTATGTAAATTACTCTTATATTTTCTTTTATTGAATATGAATTATATTAACAGCTTTGCTCACTACTCAGCATTATACAATAGAATTTTTTAACCCTGTTCCTTGCAAAACATTCTTTCTCTATAACCAAAAAAATATACTATGTATAAATCTTAATGATATATTAATATGTTTTTATTACATATCGTTGCCTAATATAAACTAATTTCGAGTTCTAACCACAAAAGTTTATACCAATTTGCCCCATATATTTTTACGGCTAAAAAGTGGCACTTTTTTATAATTTTTTCTAGTTATAATTAGCGAATTAAAATATAACAGCATATTTTCTAGTCTGATCATAAAAATTCAAATTTTAAAAAACCTAAATTTATCGATTCAAAAAAAACTTTTGATATAAAAAATATTATAGTATTCTAGCTATATTGTGGTTGATGTGTTTTTAATATTTTAAAATGTCTCAAAATTTTGACCTCAATCAATCCTAACATAAACATAAATTTTTTTATGCAATCGCTTTATCATATGAAAATTGTTTTTATTTTTTTATGACCTCTAATTTTTTTTAAAAATCGTTATATTTTTTACTACCGTATGATAAAGTTATAAATTTTTCCCTTTTAATTTGATTTCATTATAATTTTTTTTATACTTTTTCAAATAGATTGATGTTTTTGTTTCTTCTTATTTTCATCAAAATTATCTTTTGTAACTTCTATCTTTCCTTAATCCTGCAAATAATCCATCAATATAAATTCTTATTTCTGTGCAATTAAAAACTAACCTAAATTTTTTTTACCTGTATATTAATTTATTATATATTTTGTATGAAAATGGTCTATTTATATCGTGAAATTTGTAAAAAAAAAAATTAAAGCTATTTTACACTTTTATCCCTCTTAAACAAATAAAAATGACTTAGAGATAGCATATAAATTTATGGATCTTTGATCGATTAAAAGATTGCGTTTTAGATTTATGTTCATATGGGCATAATCTATATATCCCTCGTCCGGTTTGAAGGCTTAAATAACCTTATTATATGGGTGTTCTATAGAAATACCACGAATCGAAAAAAATTTACTATTTTTGTATGATTCGAATAAGTTGAATAATTATATATAAAATGCCTAAATATAGGCAAATATTTTATTAGACAAAGATTAGATTTCTAAATTTAAACTAATTGATCTGATATATTTGAGGCTTAATTGGAATTAAATATATAATGTATTTAATTGTAATGGATAAATATATATGAGATATATTTGAAGTTTAATTTGAATTAAATATATAAAGTATTTAATTGTAATGGATAAATATATATATGTGATATATTTGAAGTTTAATTTGAATTAAACATAAAATATTTAATGTTAAGTGATAAGTATATAGGTGATATAAGGCTTGTTAATAGATCCGAGGATCGACCTTTTTTTTTAAAAAAGGATCGCGACTCCTTATTTAAATTTCTGATCGATGCAAAATTAACTAATATAAAAAATAAATAAGCGATGGTATACAACAAGGTGACCCTCTAGGTTCCTTTTTGTTACGAGACATTAATGACAAATGCAAGCTAAATCTGCATAACTGGTATATCGACGATGGTATACTAGGCGGCCCACCGACTGAAGTTATGAAGGCAATCCAAATAATAAAATCCAGCGAGAAAAGTTTGGCACTTCGAGTTAATCAAGACAAAAGCGAATATTGTCCACTTGGGATCATTTACTTTAACCACGATACTATGTTCAATCATACACCATTGAACTCTTTAACATATCTCGGATCTCCAGTAGATAAAGACGTGTCCTTTATCAAGTTCTTTGCCGATATTTTACGAGAGATATTCCTTATGCGCGATACACTATCTCTCCTCCCAGCTCACCAAGCTTTCTTCTTATTAAAGAACTACCTTCTAACTCCTAGAATTTTATATACACTCCGATCGTCATGGATCTTTCAATATAACGTCAACCTCGCTGCACACGAACAGGAGATTAAATGCCTTACAGAAGATATACTCAATCTTAAATTTGGGGAATTATCATGGTTATAGGCTGCCTTACCAACTAAATCCGGCGGCATTGGCATAAGATCACCTTCCCTACTTTCCGTTAGTGCGTTCATATCCTCTCGCCTGTCCTGCGAACCCATCACACAAATACTCACCAAATATCCTGACCCCTTACTCCTACAGGCAATCGATCTATGGAAGTCCCTCTCATTAGTCGATCCTCCATCGTCGGCACTACAGATGGATTGGGATAAACCTGTTGGCAACTCCATTGCATTCCTTAAATCGAGGAGCCAACCAGAGGACCATTCTCTACTCTTCTCCATTTCCACAGGTAGTGGATACGAATTTCTTGAGGCTTTCCAATCGCGAAACCTTGACCAGCTCCTAAGCAATGATGAACTACATCACGCCATAGGTCATAGACTTAATTGCGATATGGTAATGCCTTATCACTGTATCTTCTGTCAAACGTCGGTCAACTCCAAAGGCCGTCACTCTCTATATTGCAGATACATTAGGCATTCAAAATGCAATGACACCATTGCTTGGGCCTTAAAATCCGCCAGCATCCCATCAACCCTCGAACCTACCTGCCTTTAAAATTTCGAAGGTAAGCGGCCCGATGGTTCAACTATTAACCCTTGGAAGAAAGGGAATTCCTAACCTGGGATTTCTTATGCATGGATCCTCTTGCCCCTTCCAATATAAATAGAGATGTCATACTAGATGCCGAGGCGAATAAACTAGCTAAATATTCGCCATCTCTTCCTGCCAATTATACATTCCTACCATTAATCGCCACGACTCTAAATTCGTTCGGCTCTCATACCATGGCCTTGAGCTGGGAAAACGGATCTCTGCTAGGACCGGGGATCCCAACGAGAGATTCTACCTACGCCAAATATTAGCCATAAACATAGTAAAATACAATTATCTCAGCTTTATTTTTTAACTATCCGATACCCCCTAATTGAACACTATGCATAGGATAGACTTTGGCCATTTTGCTGCCTATTATAATGTTAACGCTAAAAAGGAACTTGAATCTCAATCAATAAAAAATAGCAAGAATTAATGACTTTATATAATTGTGATTTACTAATATTATATTTTTTTTACTATTATTATAGCTTACCTTGTAATAACATATTATTATAATATATATATATAGATTATATATACAATGTTCAGATAAAATTTTTAATTAATTTATTGTAATTGAATAATATAATATAAGTATAACAATTAGAATATATTTATTTATAAATAAATTAGCCTTTAATAATAACTTTTTTTCTAAGTTAATCATCATTTAAACAATCACGTTTAAGTACATGTTTAGCTTTACTAAACAAGCTCTCCACCGGAGCGCTTGATGGTAAAGGTGTGTTATATTCATTAAATGTTTTTTTTAATTAACATTATTATTAAAAATATTCACTGAATCATCATTAGAATAAAAAAAATTATTAATGGAAAGAGCATTTTGTGAAGAGTTTTTCCCAAAAAAGGTATCGATCCATGCATTCATTTGAAGGATCTGCATATGGTTGACCCTGTATATTTTCTATATTGGCTATTAACCTTTCTTTTAGCAACAAATTTTGTGGCAGATTAATAAAAGGCCAATTGAGCTTAAATTTTGGGTGAATTATTGTTGCCAATATATTACTGTCATCATAAAGTGAAGGAAATCTATAATTTTTATTATATGCATATTGTTATGTTCACAAATAATAAAAATTGTATTTTTAAAAGAATTAATTACTTCTAAATGCCTCTTTAGGTTTGAACTGCTAATCTTTGAAGAAGATATTTTGTTTTTACATAAAGCATTTTGCATAGATCATTGTATGGTTACTTCCATCCGTTTCACATAAAGTAAAATACTTAGGTAAATTATGAAATGATAAAAGATTCTCATTCTCACTTATATCTGCTGTCACATCAATAGAAGTAGATGTATCATCTTCTAAATCTATAATGGAGGACATTATTAAAACCTAGAATTTATATTATAATATAATTAATAAATAAATATAACTTGTTCTTACAAAAAATTTGGGAAATTGTTGAAATAAAATCTGATGGAATGGTGGTTGATAAAATATGATATAGATAGATATTTTTTTTAAATGATATTTAAATTTAATTTTCAAAATTTTTATTTATTGCTTTTTAAGTAAAAAAATAATTTTTAAAAGGATCGGGATCGAATATTTAAAAAATGATCTCGATCACGATCCACAATTTAAGGTCAGGATCTTAAATCCGAGAAATTGACAAATTTAGGATTGAATCCAGGATCGGCGATCTTTTGATTCGATCCTTTAACAACTCTGGGTGATATATATTTGAATGTAAAATAAATGTTATCATTATGGAAACATATCTTATGATTATTTATTGTTAAATGCTAGAGGTGATGCATTTTAAAATTAAAGAAATTTTTGAATGTAAAGTTATCATTAAGATGTGTTTGAAATGATAATTTATAAAACATTTAAATTCAATTTTTTTTTCATTTTTATTAGATTTTACAATATTCCCTGTCCAACAATTGTAATAATATTTCTGTCTTTATTTATTTTTAACAATTAAAAATTTTTTTTTAAAAATCAAAATATTTTATTTAGTTACGTGTAATCTATATAGTTTTAATAGCGATTATGCCATTATTTATGAATACATAAAAAAATTGTAGTTATATGTAATATATGTAGTTTTTATCATGATTATATACCAAAATCATATTTTTCTTTATGTTTACCAATGTTCAATGATTATGTTAAAAATATTACATTACCTCTGATGATTTTTTTTTAAATCAATTTTTTTTTTAAACAAAATATCACATTAATTACGTGTATGTAAAGGAATTGTAGTTAGATATAATATATATTTTGATTGATAATGTTTGATAAATAAATATATGTTTCATTTAACCCCTTATATGTTTTATTTAACCTCTGAGGTGTTAGAAGATGAAAAATGGTGTAAATCTGGGAGCATTGATGACTAAGAGCTAGGACTCAATGAAAAGTTCTGAAAAGATTATGAGAAGATGATATCAAATAACTGATGAGAAATGAAGCGAATTTTGGGAAGATTATATGAAAAATGAAGAATATCTTAGAAATTAAATTATATATTTTTTTAAAGAAAGTAACACGTGGTTTCTAAAGGGTGGTCATGTTGTAGTTTTGTATTTTGGTTATATATTTATATATATATAATGTTATATATGAAATGTCAATCAAAAGTGATCTTTTGAAGTTAGTTGTTTAGTGGATGATTATTTTTATTGAAACAAGGATAACGGTTTTTTTTGGAAGTTTTCTTCCAGCTGATTGCATGTCAATTTTTTTAATTATGATTATTTGAAGTGTTATTTTAGGAATGTATTCTGATTGGATATATATATTGATCATAATAAATTGATGTTCTTAACAAAAAAGGAAAAGTGTCAATCAAAAAAGGAAATTCATAAAAAGAAATGAAAAAGTCCGAACAAAAAAGGAAAAGTGTCAAACAAAAAAGGAAAAGGTCCAATAAAAAAAGGAAAAGTGTCAAAAAAGGAAAAGTGTCAAAAAAAGGAAAATTCCCAAAAGAAAAGGAAAAGTGTCAATCAAAAGAGAAAAATTCCCATTCAAAAAAGGAAAATCGTATTTTTTTTTAATTTTTTTAAAATAAATTATAAATTTTTCAATTTTTCTTAAATTTTTATTTATTTTTGTCATTCCTTCTTATTTTATTTCTAACTTTTTGCAATTTCTTTACTTTATTTGTATCTTTTCTCAAATTATTTATCTTAATATATTTTTTCTTCTCATTTTTGATAATTCT